CTAATATTACTGGAGTGTATGATACTCTCTTCACACATGTGTACCCATATTACTGGATTGTATCATATAAAGATGTCTCTCTTCAAACATCAGTATTGCTAAGGTGCGCTCTTGAATTAACAACTAAATGTGTAACCCGAGTTATTTCTGAACTGATAACTTGTATTATATTTTATAAAAAAACACCATTAATTGTATATGCAATGCGTTGCTTATTTGCGTTATTATTGACTGGTTATGTTTGTATTTTTTACAGGTACACTAACAATAAGCCGGGAATGGAACCATACACACCTAGCAGCATCTGGTTAGTTCAAATAGATTACTTTATCAAAGATAAATGTTGTTATAAACCTCTATCTTTTCATGTTTAAAAGAATTAATAAATACTAAAACAACTATAACGAAAAAAATCATAGAATACTTGAAATAAACAGTATATTAATCTACGTGTATCGATACCTACTTTATAACGTCCTATTTACTAAGTGTACAACTCCATATATAGCAATACCTTATCCTTAACTTCTTATTTACTTTAAAGTGTACTATCTACCTGCATGTTTGTCTGACATGTATTAACTATAAAATATAGTTGTCTATTTTGGCGATACCTGCTTTATTAGCCTATTTACTCACGTGTAGTGATAAATGCTTCATAACGTCTCATTTACAATCAAATATACTCTCCAATTTTTAGGAACAAAATCTTAATATTACTCTTAGATATGCAAGCCTTTCGATAGGATACCTGCTTTACTACGCTTTTTAACTATTAATTGTCCATATATACATGCAGTGACACTTGTTTTGTAATGGTGTTTTAATGTAGAGTGTACTAGTCTACATTAAGAAAATCAAAACCATGGTATTTGATACGATGAGTAACACTTTAGCATTTCCTTTTACACACAGTAAATAACGTTATGTTATTTACCCGACTAAGAATGTTATTCTTTTCCCGATCTTGTTTTCACCTCTTCTTGGTTAAGGTCGACCTATGTTGTCTCCCTTACTCTGTTCTTTTCTGAATTGCCACTCTTTTCAAAGTACAAATCCTTTGCTACATCTTAATTCAATAAATTACGTATTTGCCGATGCTGAAAACTGTCCCTCGCAGTTCATTCCGTTGTTCGCCCATTCGTCAGTCGTAAAATTCTCTTTTGTCAATATCTCAAATACCTTTTGGTTTATGAGAAACTCGGTTTGTTCTCCCACATTTGGATGTTTAGGTGTAGTTTGATGATTTGTTGGATATATTATATTTGATCAGGTTAGAGTAATTCGTCGTTTATGATTATCTGAGGTAATACTAGAAATAACTTTCTGTAACCAAACGTCACTGTGGATAACAAACACTGTTGTATACAATTAATTTTGGTTTTATTACAGCTAATTAACAAAATTAATTCGTATATAATGCCTACTCTCTCTCTCTCTTTGTCACACTCCACCATATACACCAACATATATACCGCTTATTCACTACTTACACACACTGTACAACAGAGAACTGAAACTGTGTGATACGTCACATGTAGTGACGTATTGCACAGAAGTTTACTTGTTTACGTTGTCCACGCGACTACATGTACTATTCTCTTCATCAGAAACATATCGCAATTTCGATTGCGTAATACTCTCAAGACAGCATGTTGTAATCATATTTACACAGGTATGTTAATTGCAATATTATCGTCGCCATATTACTATATCTACATAAGATTATCGAATCACCGCAATATATACAAACATTTGCAACAGGCAATGTGATAACTGATTTGACAAACCCGATCGAGTGACCATTATTTAAAAAACAGAATATGAATATTTGTTTAGAGAGAAACGGCACATCGGAGGTCTCTTCAGTAGAGACAGCTTTACTGCTTCTGCTATATGGATTGGACCTGGCAAAGCATGATATTACAAACTGTATTGCGAGAAACACTACCGATGTCCCTTATATCTGTATTCGGCAGTCTCTACTGGGAGTATTTCGTGACAACATGAGGAATATTTCTGTGTACAGCTACCAGGGGGACAACTATACAAAGGCCTGGGTCAAAGTACGTAATGTTTGTATCTTCTAATGATTCGATGTGTTTTTTGTAAATAATGTCTTGTCAAAAATATGGATTTTCTTGTTAAAAATGCGAAATCTCCGAAATTCAAGTTGTCTATTGAAGTATAAATTGTTGTTTCGTTAACAGATAAAAATGTACAAACGGTACCACACGAACACACATATGTTTCTTGATGACAGAAAATACGCAATAATAATACACTGTACCATCTAATAAAACTAACAGTAATGTAACGATGATAACTGTCGGACTCAATGCAAAATAATCTGTTCCCTAAATACAGCTTTTAAAGTAAGTGTATAAATACTTTATCAATATTCTTTAAACATCAATATGTTTGACTTGTGTTCCATTGTTTAAAAAAGAACATTGGTATAGTAATGCAACGTCTTTTTGTTGATTATAAAGTCAATCATTGTTTTGTAGACCATGACTGTTGCTGAAAATGAAAACGAGATAGCATCGCCTTTTGTTTTCTACGACAAAGACGATAAGCCCACTGGTGGTCGTGTCGTTTCGACAAGTCAGCCTTGGCGCTGGGAATGTCGAAAATACATAATGGAGGACGTGTACGCCTCCCAACGTGCGGATGTGTATCTACTTGCTGTATTACCAGTTCACGAAGCTGCAAACACACCAAACGGATGTGGTGACCTCAACCCTGACCAGGTTGTTTTTACAGAAGCAGTTTCTTACGGAGTTGATATCATCAACAATAACACGGCAATTCTTCCCGGTCTTTCCCTCGGTTACATCATGATCGACAGTTGTTCCTTTGCCGACCGTACGATATTTCAAATAGATCAGATGTATAGTGCAAATACAGAGAAAGGAATTGATTTTCATGTAGCGTCCCAAATGTTTGGAGCTGTCGGCTTCACTCGTTATAACGAATACGCACCTTTGGCAGGTTATCTACATAGTAAAGGTCTACTAACGATTAGCGCAACAGCATCCGACTCCGAATTCAGCAACAAAGAAATATATCCTGACTTTATGAGAATGGTGCCAGACCAACGGGAGGAAATAAACGTGATGTTTCAAATACTTAAACTCCTTGGAGTCAAGTACATAGGGATTTTGCATACCGATGTACATCCCAATGACGTAAGCGCTATTGAAGCAATGGAGGCAGCCAACGCTTTTGATATGTCAGTCGTCTACATAGTGCGAATAACGGAGGAAGTCGGTCAAAACGATTCAGATATGGACTACTTAGTTGAAACATTTATTGAAAGAAATCTTAATTCAACGACCGTATTGATGACATTTGCCGAGGCTAGGGAATTAGTGCCATTGTTTAGAGCGATGAGGAGACGACATGTTGAAAAAGTTATCTGGATTGGTGGTAATTCGTGGTTCACTACTTTACACGTCGACGATTTACTACCATTTGCTAAACTGTTACCCTGGGCGTTCGTGGTAGGAATTGCAACATATCCTGTCCCATCGTTCAACCGACAACTTACTCAAATGCAAAGCAACAACCCTACCAAAGGTATTTATATGGATGAGCTTTTGAATCTCATGTCAACGTGCCAGAACCAAACTGACAAAGACGAGACTGACAATATTTGTAACAAGTTATATTCCGACATGTTTAGTCACAACGATGCTTACCTTATCATTGATTCCATAAAGGCACTTGCTGCAGGTTTGGATGAGATTATACATAATAAATGTCCTTTAGGAGACTTCTGTGCAGATGCAAAGAGTCATTTAGCAAGTCGACTTCGGAACAATATACTCCAATATCACTTCTCGGGTTCAACTGGAAAGAATATCCGTTTTGATAGCAAAGGAAATGGACCAGCATCATTTGGAATCCACCGGGTTGTCTTTGATGAAGAGCAAATTAGCATTGAATACCAGAATGTAATGTAGCATTTCGTTTTTGTTTTTATTTCAACAGTCGTGTTTAATTTCTTCCAACCAGTTGTTCGCTATATTTTCAACTTATTACAACTAATTCTTACAAAAGACTATTAATTGAAACATGTCAATCTACACATTGTATGCAATATCTCATCTTTTGAATATTATATACTTGCTCGAAAGGTTTCTTTTTTATGTAAGTCAATAAGTCGTGTTAACATTTTGGTAGCTACATGAGTTCAACTGTCGACTCAAATGGGTTTTTTTTTATCAATATGCTTATTCTGAATAGTTGTGTATTGATGCTAAGCTATATTTCCCTATGTTACTTGAAACTGTTACTTAGATTTGCAAACAATATTTTTATTATATTTTTAAACATCACCTGAATTTTCCAACGATAAGACAATCGGCATTGAAAATGTATGCATAAGAAACACATTCTTTAGAGCTATCCAAATTAATTTTATAGTGTTATTGTTTATTCAGGTTGGTGCCTTTGAGGACGGCTCGCTCAGTGTATCCAGTGATCTTTCGATTTTGTCGTTAAATATAAGGAAATCAGACTGCAGCTCTGATACATGTGCACATGTGCCACCTGAGATTTTCGGTAAACCCTACGTGTACATAGACGGTGATCCAATGTTGTACGGCTTTGTGAAGCTCTTTCAACGCGAAAACGATGACACGTGTTCCGGGCGAGTAAACAATAATGGGTATCAAGCAATGGAATCGATGGTTTGGGGTGTAACTGTCATCAACAACAGCACCACTTTGCTACCAAATGTGAAGCTTGGTTTAGCTGTATTCCCCACCTGTGGTGTCGCCACAAAGACAAAAAATATCGTACAAAGTGTTCTGTTACCAAACTTAGTACTGCCTACAAAAAGACTACGTCCAAATACAACCATTCTTGGGATCGTCGGAGGCGAAGCCGTAGGAGAGGCTATCTCTATTGAAACGGCAACGCGTGCAGTAGATGTCGAAATACCAGTTGTAAGTATGTGTAATACGGATTGTTATTTAGGACTATCATAGGTTTGAATGACCCATCATAAGAGTAAATCTGGCCAATCAGCACAATGAAACCATGTATGGAAACGCTATAATTTTGTATGGCCTATCAACACATATGATTGTGAATCAGACATTGTGATGATACCAGGTGTTGAATTTTATGAGTTTGCAACTAAACGTCATCATTCAGTTCTTGACGTCTTTCCATCACTGTTGTTTGGTTCAAGTTTTTGGGAAGCAAATTTAATATTAATAAGGGTACCAATAAATGATGTTTGCCGAAAAGACAATTATAGAATAGAATATTAACAATAAAAGATATATAATTAAGGCAATTTCATATATACGTGTGGTATTGATAATGTGAACTATGTACATGTAGGTTATAATAGCCCATCAACACAGTACGCTCATGCAGTTTCATACGTTAGACTTAATGGCATAGCATTATAGTGAAAATTTACCACGCCACACGATAGTCTTAGCTGTCCGTCATCAGTTTAACATAAACCAAACACATTATCTTCAAAGCGTCACACTATGATAATAATAGTCCGTCAACAAAATGAAATGATACAGATCTTAATTCAAATCGTGCAGGACCACACGGTAGTCCTAACAACTTATCATCAAAGTAAATATTAATCATTGTCACACATTAGTTAGTTGGCGATTGGGCTTTTGTGATCGGAGGGGGAGGGGGGCACAGGGCCCTGATATTATAATAAATGCATGCAAACAGCAAATTCTAGTATTTCGATGCCCAAAAGAAGGGAACAAAGAACAATTCCCTCAATGATCTTGGGCCTTAGCATAAGATGTATTTGTACGATTATATGGTGGGGTACAGCTGACCATTTCTCCAAATCTATAGGAGTGCATCAGATGATAATGCGACAAAACTTAAGTTTTCGATTGGGATTCAAGCTCCATGGAAAACGCCATGGAAAATCAGGAATGTTTTCCCTTTATCATTATCACCGATTTTTTTTCTTTCCAGATAATATCGTCGCGGGCTGATGTAAGCGACGGCCAACCACATCCACGTCTGTTCAGAACGGTGCTCTCTCCATTTGCAGAAATGGACTATATTCTGGAACTAAGCTTGCAGTTACGATGGACTTACATCCATGTAGTTTACGATCCTTTTATGGAAAGCGTTGTCAAATATCTGGGAGATATATTTAAAGCAAATGGAATATGTATAGCAAGCCGAAATATATTGGAAAAATCAGCCTCGTCTGAAGTAACGCGGTCTATACTGGTCAACATGACGGAAGTAGAGGGCGCTACTGCAGTTATTCTCGTTATGCCACCAAATAACGCTAAGCAAGTACTAACGGTGGCACGAGTATTATATCTGTTAGGAAGGCTATTCTTCGTGCTCCCGTTTGAAGTGTATGACTTGGAGAGCTATCTATCAGAACAAGACATAGGTACGATTCAAAATATTCTTTAAGTTATTATATACCATTATACATAGATTCGAATTCAGTTCTTTTTCTAATGAATACATGGTTTGAAATATTACGGTTAATGATAAACACTCCTCACCGATTATGTAATCTTAAATTAACCAGTACTCTTCCAAAGTTTTAAATGCGTCATTAAAGGGGCTTTACGCACATGCCATTTTGTTTTAACAGCAGTTTAGACAATTTGGATATCTAACATTTTGACCCTGACCATCACCGATGAGACCTAGTAGGATGACACTGCTGTATGATGAAGGGTTATTCATTTTTGTCATACTGTTTTAATTACCAAATTGTCAAGGTGCAATTACCTGTGTCTGTGTTACGTTCAACTTTCCTGCTTGGCTCGTGTTATTGTCTTTATGTCACGCAGAACCAAAGGTTGTTTGCCGTTATAGGGAATTAGAATATTTAGACATTATTGAATAGCATTGCATCAAAGTATTTACGCAACAAATAGTCTGATTAAGAGGTTCAGAAAGACAGAAACCTTTATTAGCCATGTATTATTAAAATATCTAACATCTCTTTTTTTCAGGCGTGCTTTCGACCCGCAAAGATGTTCAAATAAATGACCAATTCATGAACTACTTTTTAAGCCTTAACATTAAAGACAAAGCAAATGATCCTTGGTTTGCTAATTTTTGGCAGCAATCAAACGCCTGCAATTTGCGGTTATCTAACACCTATGCCAAAGATTGCTCGAATTCAGAACGTCTGTCTAGAAGTAACGTCATTCCAAGTCCATCCATCAACGGCATCTTGGATTCAGTCTTCTCCTTGGGGCATGCACTCCATGGTCTACTGAGAGAATGCAAAACGGATAAGTACGAGTGCATTAAAGGAGACCGAGCTATATTTTACAATAACATAGAACGGTATCTCAGTGCAGTGAACTTCACGTCACCGGGAGGTACACCGTTTAAGTTCCGGGACAAAAACACCGCTTCCACAGCTCTGATAGTAACAAATGTTCAGAAGAGTCCTGACGGAGGAATCCGACTAGTAGACGTAAGTCTGATCGTTTTAATTATCAAGCAATTGCTCAACTTAAAATGTGTTTCTCTCCATTTTATTTGTTTAAATGTTGAGGAAGAACTACATGCATTTCTCTTCAAACCCCGGCATACTATTTTGTATTCCCATTTTATTTTAATAGATACGTTTAACCATTGGTTATCTCAATAAACTATATAAGCCAATGCTTTTAATATTTTATTGATGGCTTTTTTGAGTTTATTTGATAATTGATTTGACTTGAAAAACGGGTTCATACTGCAATATAATAGTAGGCATACACAAATATTATGCAATGTTTCTTTTTATAGGTTGGTAATTTTGAAAGCGGAAAGCTTACACTTGATATGAGGAAATTGAGTTTCTATAGAAATGGGTTACGTGTCATGCCTGCCTCTGATTGTCTTGGCGACTGCCGGATCTGCTTGGAACCCGATTTTGTGAATGCGTATGACGCTCGAGTGACGTCATTACGATCAGCTGGCCCTATTCTGGAACATAAGTTTTTTACTGCTCTTGGTGTTATAGATATTCTCCTGATCTTCATTTCATTTATGTTTATTACAATAGCCTCCTACTTTCTATGTAAGTTTTACAAACATAAAGTGTTTAACATCTGTGCTGATGCTGATACTGGAATTCTGATTGGCTGTTCAATTATGACGTTATCTAGCTGCTGCCATCTCTTCTCACAAACCAAACTGATGTGTACTTTACAGGTCGCTGCTCCAGGTAAGGGAAATGTATTACAGTTTGACATCTTCTTAAAGAATTTCCTCAAACTCAATTGATTGCTCAATTTCCTTAACGAGTGAATGATATTTCGACAAATCATTTTACAGAGAACAATTTAAAAACAAAAATAATGGTTACCCGTTAAAGGCTTAATAAAAGTCTCCTAATAATTATTGTATTAAACCGAATTCAAAAACCTCAAAATATTGGAAAGGCACTCGGCTGTGTTTCAAAATTAACCTACCTTTTACAACAAGACTGCAATGGATCATTTTATCTAACAACTTATGCAAAAACAACTGCTAAGAAAAGAGGGCTATGAATTTCAAGCCTGGAAAATTACACCAATATTCTATTTGTATTCTGATGAACACATAAATTCCCGACAAATGATGCTTTGTTGTCATGAAACTGACGTACGTTAATCTTTATTATTTATCTATTGTCCGAAAATGCTTCTATTACTACTATTTGTATTTGGCTTAAAACCTAGAGGCTTTGTTTTGTTATTGTGCTGTTCGAGTGATGTCTTTGAGGGGTGCCCTAGAGCTAGCAGGTGTAATTGTTTATTCGAGTAAAGTCCCTGATGTTATCCCATGACGCAGCAGCTGTTATTTGTCAAATGTGATGATCGTGTTATTTTTGTTTATATTTAGTCATCATCAGGCAAACGAAGATGAAAGGTTCATAGTATAAAGTGGCAATGCTTTGAATTAATTTTAACAATATATGGTTAGAGGGAAATAACTCTGATAAATATGATGCATACAGAAATATTAAATCATGCAGGTGACGTTTCAATGCATTGTCACAAGCGCATAAAACTTACATGTGATTGACGTTTGGGGGCAAAGGTTAAATCATCAAAAAAACGAACGATGGCTATTTTGATTTGGTTGTTACCCTCAAGTTGTATCTGTTCTCCCTAATGTGTGTTAGTGGGTCATCTCTTGACGGCAACACACTAATATGTGTGACCATATCAGACATTGTACATGTAAGGGATCAACTGTCGTAACCAAATTAAATAGAGTGGATACGACACCTGTACATATTAGACAGAGATTTGCATGACGTTAACATATAAGTGAAATTACAACATATGTGACCTGATGTACCAGTGTCGGAAAGATATATTAATGTTACTTATGAATAACAATATTATATAGAGATTACATTGCACCTGCTTGAACTGTAGATAAAGGGTACAGGGGTGCGGTCATTATCTGATGATGTCATTTTGTGGTAATATTATGATACAGTGTTGTTCGTAAAGTCGACAAGGTTAACTGTATGTCAAAACTATGATGGTATTGCTTATGTCGGCTGTTTGATCAAGCAAAATATCTATTTGTACATACGTAGCTGAAAAGCAATTTCCGTATCCGTGCCTGGACAGTTACAAAATGTAAATTCTAGGACTAAGTTTTGTCGACTTATAATAAGGATATTGTTATTAAAGTACCTTAAGAAGTCGATTGTGTAAATTAACTCAAAAGTAGAACATCACCACTTGAATACACAGGCAAAATTTATTGAGGTACAATTTACCTGAAAAAGACATGAATTTCATGTCAAATTTAAATTAAAGTCAATTTCACACGAAATTTCTTTCAGGCCAATTTTAGGCCGGTTGAATTATATAAGTGTACTGATCTGTGTCATCTTTCAAACAATGATTTTATCTATGATGCGCCATAAACCTAGGTCTATATAGAGGTTTTGAAAGTTAACAGTCTTTCATATTTTTTTTCAAATATATCATACACCTTAAAAAATACTCTTGTTGGTTCAGTGGCATGTTTCAACTTCAGGTGACGACAACTAGATGCAATTTTATAATTGTTAAATACTTTCTTCTTAATGTGAATGTTTTCGGTCTAATTTCTTACAAAGTAACTCTCTACTCTCCATTTCAATTGTTGCCTACCTAGTCCAAAGGACAGACTTGTGAGCTAAAGATGCTGTACAGTGGCATCCGTCTGTCCGTCCATCAACATTTTTTTGTCTTGAATGACTTTTAATAAAAATGTTTTGTTATGATTGCTTGAATATCCAAGCGATCTTTTTTGTTTTTGTTAACAAGAAAATATTGCAAACCATTAAATGAAAAAAGTAATTTCGTACAAACTGGATGATCACTGCTATGTAAGCACACATAAGTGATGACGACAGATGCAATAACTGAACAATCGTTAATGCGGAATTCTATAGTTCTGTAAACGCCGCTGTCCTGATAAGGCTTCATCTGAAAACAAATGATCACTGTGACATGTCGACAAATGCTTCAACAATGAATAATACTTCGATTCGATCATACGTCAATATAAGTATACGGTTGATTGATGGCAATAGCATAACTATATCTGCCTATATATTTCATTTTATAATGTTATTGTTGTTGCAGAAAAAGGCGAATATTATTTATAGTATATTTGGTTAGCTTATAAGAAATATATTCACTATAAATCGTCCAAATAGTGAAACCTGCCACTTATTTATAAAACCACTTGCCGATATCAACCATTTTAAAATACCCCAAAGATGTTTGTTTTTTTCATTATGATCTGCTTAGTAAGTCTTATTGTGATTACGTTATTAACTCTTTCCCATAAGAGGTCATTATAAATATATATCACTGTACATCTTTTTAATAAGTTGAATATTTGTGACACAAACTAGCCGATTTTGGAGTAATATTGATATATTTTTATTGACTGTGATTTGAATCATGATTTTCTTTTTTTTCACATGTATATAGCTAATTTATTAATTTTCAGCTCTTTCATACGCCATAAGCAATGCTTCTCTGATCGTGAAAATCAACAAGACAGTATGTTTACGTTCGTATCTTGGCCTGCAACAGAGCCGTGTACCGCGATGGGATTTTGCTCTGACTTACATACCGTTGCTATTGGTTCCCACAATAATTGCGTTCTTCAAGTGGATGCAGAGTGACGTCATCAATATCAGTTCGACTGTTCCTGGCATACGGGAAATTTCTAATGTGGACGAAGTGACCATCACTTGGCGTTGCAGTTTTGATAAGTACGTGCAATCTTTGTTTTTCTGTTGGTCTTAGTTTTGTGTCACAAATGTATTGAAAACAGTTAATTATGATAAAGTGTATCACCTTACAAGCAATAATGGAGGAGAAAAGTTCAATTTCGGAGCTTTGTTTTGGTCCATTAGCACTCTGTCTTGTATAATGAAGATCAAGGAATTTCTAAAAGAGTGTTTTTTAAGGTACAGAGTTTTTTCCGTGAACATTTGATCATCATTCATTTTGATACTGTGCATTTACAGGTCGTTGGTAGCAAAATTGGTTTACTGTAGGATTATCAGTTTCAGACCTTATAAGATCCCGAGTTCAAAACCCTAAAATATATCTATAGAATGCATCGGGAGATGTGTTTGATTAGATTTCATCTGAAGCCACATAAACAAAGATTTCCTTATAGCTCCTTATGTTAAGATCTATTATATTGTATGAATTAAATATGAAGATATTACCTAATTATTCAGTCTCCTTAGTAATGCCCTGTAAACATACACGTGTCTGGTCATTTTCCTCTCTGTATATGATCCATTAAATTCTCAATTTTTTTTTAATTAATTTTTACAAAATTGTGCTTTAGCATATTCGAATAAAAACAAGAAATGGCTAAAATTATTTTTTATCACAAGAAGTGAACCTATCATGAAGGATGATCACACGCTTGTTGTTGACAAAAGCTGTTCACTGATTAAGTTGTCTCGTTTGTTTTTAATTCCGTCTTTGCGTATTGCAGAGTTATCTT